CAGATTAGCTTTTTTTTACTTAGTAATATGCATTTAACATTCCTCTATGTCTTTTTATGGCTTGATAGCACATTTCTTTTTACCACTGATATTGCATTATCTGGATGTGCCACAGTTTATTCATCTATTTACTTACTAAAGGACATCTTTGTTACTTCCAAGTGTTGGCAATGAATAAAACTGCTGCAAACAATCCATGTGCAGATTTTTGTGTGGTCATGGGTTTCTAATTTATTTGAACAAATACTAAGGTGTGCAATTTCTGGATTGTATGATAAGAGTGTTTATTTTTGTAAGAAATGTCAAGCTGTCCTTCAGAATGGCTGTACCATTTTGCATTCCTATTGGTAATGAATGAGAGTACCTGTGGCTCCATATCCTCACCAGTGTTTGGTGTTGTCAGTGTTCTGGATTTTGACCATTATAAAACATATGTAGTGGTATCTTGTTGTTTTAACTCATATGTCCCTGATGACATATGATGTGGACCTTCTTTTCATATGTTTATTTGCCATCAGTATATCTTCTTTAGTGAAGTTTCTAGTAAGGTATTTGGCCAATTTTTAAGTCAGGTTGTTTGTGTTCATATTGCTGAGTTTTAAGAAGTTGGGGGGGGTGTTTTGTATATTTTGGGTAATAGTCTCTTTTTTTTCTTTAGCAGCACTCTATCATCAAAGGGTAATAATAGTCCTTTATCAGACATATTTGAAAATATTTTGTCTTAGTCTGTTTCTTTTCTACTCACTATCTTGACAATGTATTTTAAAGAGCAGAAGTTTTAACTTTAATGAAGTCCAGCTTATCAATTCTTTCTTTCATGGTTCATGACTTTGATGTGATCACCATACCCAAGATCATATTCTTCTATGTTATTTTCTAGGAGCTTTAGGGTTCTGCTTTTTACAGTTAGGACTATGATTGATTTTGAGTTAATTTTTGAAAAAAGTGTAAGACCTATGTCTAGATTCACTTTTATTGCAGGTGGATGTTCAGTTGTTCCAGCACCATTTGTTGGAAAGACTACATTTTCTCCATGGTATTGCCTTTGCTCCTTTGTCAAGGATCAGTTGACTATATTTACACAGGATTTTTTCGGGGCTCTCTATTCAGTTTCATGGATCTATTTGTCTATTCTTTTGCCAGTCTCACACTGTCTTGATTATTGTAGCTTGACTGTAAGTCCTGAAGTTAATTAATGTCAGTCGTCTGTCTTTGTTCTATTTATTCAATATTGTGTTGGCCATCCTGGGTCTCTTTGCCTGTCCACATAAATGTTAGAATTAGTTTGTTGACATCCACAAAATAACTTTCTGGGATTTTGATTGGGATTGATTGCATTGAACTTATAGATCAAGTGGAGAAGAATTGACATTTTGGAAATAATGCCTTTACCCATGAATATGGAATATCTCTCCATTTATTATGTCTTCTTTTACTTTTTTAATCAGAGTTTTGTAGTTTCCTCATGTAGATCTTGTATATATGGGCTAGGTGCAGTAGCTCATGCCTGTAATCCCAGAACTTTGGGAGGCTGAGGTAAGAGGATCACTTGAGGCCAGGAGGTGGAGGTTACAGTGAGCTATGATTGCACCACTTCACTCTAGCCTGGGTGACAGAGGAGACACTCTGTTTGGAAAAAAAAAGAGATCTGGTACATATCTTGTTTTTTTGTTTGATTTATACCTAAGTATTTCATCTTTGGGGAATGCCAATGTAAATGGTATTGTGTCTTAAATTTCAAATTCTACTGATTCATTGCTAGTATAATATATTGACTTTTATGTATTATCCTGATATCCTACAATTCTGCTATAGTTGCTTATTAGTTCCAGGAGTGATTTTGTCAGTTCTTTCAGATATTCTATATAGACAATTATAACATCTATGCACAAAGACAGTTTTATATCTTCCTTCCAAATCAGTATAGTTTGTATTTCCTTTTCTTATCTTATTGAATTAGCTAGGACTTCCAGTACAATGTTAAAAAGTAGTGGTGAGAGGGAACATCTTTGCCATGCCCCTGATCTCAGTGGGAAAGCCTCACCATTAAGTATGATATGATGTTGGCTGTAGGTTATTTTATAGGTGTTCCTTATCTAGTTGAGAAAACTCCTCTCTATTTCTAGTTTTCTGAGATTATTTATTGTGAGTGGGTATGAGGTTCTGTAAGATGCTTTTCCTGAATCTATTGTTATTATCACATAATTTTTCTTCATTAGCCTGTTGACATAATAGACTACATTAATTGATTTTTGGACAAATGTTGAACCAGCCTTGAATGCCCAAGATAAATCCCACTTGGTCAGGATAGGTATGGTGGCTCATGCCTGTAAACCTAGCACTCTGGGAGGCTGAAGTGGGAGGATCCCTTGAGATCAGGAGTTTGAGAGAAGGCTAAGCAAGAGCAAGACCCCATCTCTACTAAAAATAGAAAAATTAGCCAAGCGTCGTAGTGCATGCCTATAATTCCAGCTACTCGGGAGGTTGAAGCAGGAGGATGGCTTGAGCCCAGGAGTATGAGGTTGCAGTGAGCTATGATGATGTCACTGCACTCTAGCCGGGGCAATAGAACAATACCCTGTCTCAAAAAAAAAAAAAGTTTATCCTCCATTATTGACATTTTCTTCTTTACTTTCTTAAGTCTAATCAACTGATGAAACAGTAAATCAAGTCCTGATTTGTATATAGAACTACTTGCCTTGGAGAAATTCATTAAGTGTAGTTTTCTTCCCTCATTGACTTAGGAAATGTTCTATGACCCCCGATGGCTTTGCAGCTGTTTAATATACGTAGCCTTGCCTTGTCTGTAGCATTATCAGCTGCAGGAGAGCTGAAATCCTTCTTGGTTCTTTCACATCATTGCTCGATGTCTCTAAAGTACATTTTAGGTTAATGCTACTCAAATTGTACCACTGAAGCAGTTACTCTGTTTCAATCACTTGAAAGAAAGACAAAAAAAAAAAACACATTAAACACCTGAGAAAAAGTAAAGCCACATTAAAGTGAGATTGTAGGAACAGATTAGGAATGTAGAGAAGAGAAAGCTCACTGCTATCTGGAGGAGTCAAAGAAATTTCATGTTGACTTGAACAAGAACATTAAGCAAGACTGGGCCCTGGCCTGAGGACAGGCTGGGAGTGAGTGGTGGTTTGGAAAGAAGGAAAGAGGACACGTGGAATATGTGAGGGACAGTGGAAGGTAAAGTTGGCCGGATAAAGTGAAGTCTTCAAAAGGCCAAGTTAGGAAGCTTGAAATTGGCCCAGTAAGCAATCAAAGGCTATTTTAGATCTATATGCAAACAAATAGCATAGGCATGATGTTGAAGTAGAAATCTGGTAGCATCCCTAGCACAGGAAGTTCAGAAGCCATTACAGTGACTTAGGTTTAAATAATAAAAATACAACAAATGATCAGTTCCCCAGTGATCGGCGATAAGTCATGTTGATACCATGTACCCTCCCAGATACGATGCAATGAGAAGGGCACCTCATCTCTGCAGTATTATTCCTAAAAATCCACTACTTAAGTCAATCACGAGAAAACTCAGAACCCAAACTGAGGGACAGTATACAAAAATCAATATTCTCCAAAAGTGTCAAGGTCATTGAAGATAAATGGCTAAGAAACTGTCACAGATTAGAGGAGACTAAGGACACATGAAAACTAAATGCAATGTGGTATCATATATTGGATGCTGGAACAAAAAAAAGGACATTAGTGGAATAACTGGTGAATCTATATAAAAGTAGTATAGGTGATAATTTTGTATCAATGTTAATTTTTTGTGTCATTGGTTATATAAACTGTTATTATAGGGGAATATGGGCAAAGGGTCTGTGGGAACTGCCTGTATTACCTTTACAACTGTTCGGTAAGTTTAAAATTATTTTTTAACTTAAAAAAAATCTATTCTTCTATCTGCTAGCTTCAAGAGAGACAGGGCAAAACCTTGCAAAGCATAACTTTAGAGCATGTTTCAGAAGCAAAGGTCTGCTGCTCCCAACCTGTGTAGCCTTTCCTGGGCAAATGATTTACAATCTCTGAGCCTCAAATCCCATGTCTTAAAAACAGAACTGGCAAGGGACATCTATTCAACACATGGTACTGAGAAAACTGGATATTCACATGCAAAATAATAAATCTGGACTCTTACTATATGCAAAAATTAACTCAAAATATATTAAAGACCTACAGTGTAACAGCTGAAATTATAAAGGAGAAAATATCTAGCGAAAGTTTCGTGACATCGTATTTGGCTATGATTTCTTGGACATGACACCAAAAAGCAGAAGCAACAAAAGGAAAAGAAAATAGACAAATCGGACAGAAAGAAAAGGTGACCAGAAACGCAACGGAGGGCAGTGTCACGTCCTCCTAGCTGTTGGTCCTTTAACTTCCAGCGGCTGTCCACGCACCGCCGAGGTTTTATCACTTGGGTCTTAATTGGGAATAAACGAGGGAGTGTATTCCAACGATTCCTTAGCTTCTGAGAGCCTACGTCCCAGCATCGTAGGCTCCGTGCGTTCTCGAGCCCATCCCGCAGCCAGAAAGTGCAAAGCGCTCCTCTCTCCCGCCTTGCTCTTCCTCCTCTCCCCTGCCCTCCTTGTCTTTCTGTCCGCCCTCTCTCCTTTCCCTCTCTCGCTCTTCCAAGTGCTGAGCTCACGCAGCCACGAGCCCAACACAAACCGTGCTGCTTATAGAAAACTCCGCTCATCCAAAGAGGCGCTAATTAATCCGCGAGGACCCACGCGCGGGGCGCACCCCCGACTCCTCCCTCGCACCCCAAAAGAGCAGCCCTCCAGCGGCGGGACTGCCGGCGCCCGGGCTCCCCGGCAGCTCCCCGCCGGGAACAGCCTCCCCACTGTTCCTGCAGGGAGCGGGTGCCAGCCGCCAGCCCTGCCGCGCCCCGTGCCAGGGTCGGGCGGGTGACGTCGCGGGCGTGCGCCTGGCCGCGGGGCAGGCCTCCGGGCTGAAGGAGGGCCCGCCCCGGCTCCGACCTGGGCCCCGCCCCGCCGCCCGGGCGCCTAGCCCCGGCCCCGGCTGGTTTGCTGGCACTCGCCGGCGCTCGCCCGGCTCGCCCGCGTCCGCGCTCGCCCCGCGCGCTGCAGCCATGTGTCCCCGAGCCGTGCGAGCGCCCGCGCTGCTGCTCCTCGCGCTGGGCGCGTCGTTGTGGCCCGCGGCCGGCGCCTGGGAGCTCACGATCCTGCACACCAACGACGTGCACAGCCGGCTGGAGCAGACCAGCGAGGACTCGAGCAAGTGCGTCAATGCCAGCCGCTGTGTGGGCGGCGTGGCTCGGCTCTTCACCAAGGTGCAGCAGATCCGCCACTCCGAGCGCAACGTGCTGCTGCTGGACGCCGGGGACCAGTACCAGGGCACCATCTGGTTCACCGTGTACAAGGGCACCGAGGTGGCGCACTTCATGAACGCCTTGCACTACGATGCCATGGTAAGACGCGAGTCCCCGCCGGGGCTAGGAGTCCCGGACAGAGAAGAGAAGCTGGGCTGGAGAAGCACCGATGGCAGAGCGTGGCAAGCCCCGGACCAGGGCGCAGGGGGGGAGGGGGGAAATAAAGTGAGACTCTGGCCAATGTGCCAGGTGGATGCAGACATAAAAGTCCCTTAGAAGATTCCTCTTAAACAGATAATACTGGGCTCTCACTATGAGATGGGAGTATTTAGAGGAGCGGGACCCAGCCCTGACTACGAGGGGGTTCAGCTAGGGCACATAGGAGCATTGACAATTACGAAGAGCTAGGGACTGAACTAGGTTCCTCGCGCATCTCTCTCATTTGCTGCTTGATCTTTCAAAAAATGCTTTATCTTAATTTTATTGAAAGTAAGACTGAAGGTCAAAGACGCTGAGTAAATTATCCAGGTCACCATCCCCCAAAAAGGGAGATGTGATATGAATGGACGTGAGATTGCTTTGACCCTGGTGCTCAGGCACAATTAAGCTCACAGCTTTGGGGTAGATTCCTGGCTCAGTTATCTGTGTGACCTTGAGCAAGTTATTTACTCTCTGTGTGCCTCAGTTCCATCCTCTATAAAATGGGGATAATATTAATAATTATATTTACCTCAAAGCATTGCCTGCACATAGCATCGTCTCTATAAATGTTGGTCCTTATGATTACCAGATACAGTATAGGTTTTAAAAAAGAAACTTCAGAGAGGACCAAAATGGTGAAACGCTGGGGTTTCAAAGGATTTCAAAACATCAGCTGGGCAGAAGAGTCCAACTTAAGATAAAGGGCTCTTAAAACATGTATAAGAGATTAGTCCAAAGTCCCAAATGCTGTGTTGAAGGTAATGCTTTGTTTGTTGGACTAAACTGGGGGGCGGGGGGGAGACAAAAGAAAAGAAAAGAAAGAGAGAGAGAGAGAGAAGGAAAGAAAAAAGAAAAAGAAAGAAAGTTAATAAAATGTGGTATATGTATACTATGGAGTACTATTCAGCTTTAAGAAACAATGGTGATATAGCACCTCTTGTATATTCCTGGATACAGCTGGAACCCATTCTACTAAGTGAAGTATCTCAAGAACAGAAAAACAAGCACCACATGTACTCACCAGCAAATTGGTATTAACGGATCAACACCTAAGTGCACATATAGGAGTAACATTTATCGGGTGTCGGGCAGGTGGGAGGGGGAGGAGGGGATGGGAATATACATACATAATGAGTAAGATGTGCAACGTTTGGGAGATGGACACGCTTGAAGCTCTGACTTGAGGGGGTGGGCAAGGGCAATATACGTAACCTTAACATTTGTACCCCTATAATATGCTAAAACAAAAAAGAAAAAAAGAAAAGAAAAAAGGAAGGAGGCTTACATAGTAATAATAAGTAAGTGTAACGGAGATGTATATATGATGGTTGTTTTTTCACATGAAACCACCACCCAAGTTTAACCCTATGGAAAAGCCTCAAGTGAAGGGATTGAGCAAGACTGTGGAGAAACTAGGGACAAAATGTAAGAGCTCTGGAAGAGGAGAGGCAGAGAAATCTGTGAGGCCCGCAGGCGGGCGTGAGGGAAGGGGAGGGCGGCCCAGGCGGGACACAGCAGTGTGCTGTGTGTGGAAGAGCTCAGAGGTCAGGAGAGCACAGGGCTGTGTGATTTTTTTTTTCCTCTGGAAACTTGCAGAAAGGAGGACAGGAAAAGATGATAAGAGGGCGCAGTTGTTTGACTTTGTTGCTGGTTCCGCGCCCCCCAACAAGAAAGCTCATTTTAGAGAAATGAGAAAAAGGGAGAACGCTGCTCTGACCTGCCGTGTGGGTTGTGGGACTGCCAGGAGCAGTCAGAGCAGCAGCAGCCCAAGCAGATCGCTGAGCCCTCAGAGCCCACCTGGAGAGCTCCCCGCGGACTGCACCCGCAGAAGAAGCATGGGTCTCAACAACTCTGTGGTCTCTTAGCATCTTAGCTAGACTTGCATGATGCTTTGCACTCGGCAGTGACAAAATAAATATTTATAGAATTGAATCGTTACTAGCTGGTGTCTCCACTTCCTCCCAGAAGAGTAAAAGAAACCCTACATGAGTTTGTTTTATTTCACATATAAACCGCAGCTTCATCTACTTTTCTTTTTGTGACTCCCTTTTCTCCACAGTTGTATAAATTCCTTTTGGTGAAAAGAAAAAAATGGAGAACTCCTGGTTTTCCCTAATGATAATGTTTCCCTCTTTAGGTCCAATTGAGCTCATGGTGTTTGTTAGTCGTCCTGTCAAGTGTTTATAATAAGACTTCTGGGTGAGGCCAGGACCATCTGCTGCATGTTATAGCCCATCTCCTCCACGAATGTTTAGAATACTTTTTGTTGGATGGAATTACTTTCAAATTTCTTTCAAATTGTGCTCAAAGTAATTGGATTAGGGCCTTAGGAAAAGGGAAATACTTACACTCTTGGCGGGATAAAGAAGTGAGGGGGTCAAATGGCTAAGCTGATGGCTGCGTTCCTGAAGGCATCGCCTCACCACTTGCTCTGTGCAGTTTGGGGGTTTGCCAAACTTGATTTGACTTGCATAAAATCCGAGTTCTTGCAGTGCTAAGGCATGTGATAAACCACCTCCCTATTCCTGTTCTACGGAGATTTTTTTCACTGTTATTTTGTTTATATTATACTAACCCTCTAGGAATGTATTGCTATTTTGATATAAAGGTTTCCCCCACCACAACCACTGTCCAGGTCTTGAGTCCCGGAACACTGGAGATTCAGATCAAGGTGGAAAACAGCTGTGGAGAGGCATCTCCAGTTCCCTGGAAACTGGGCCTGGTTTCGGAGAGCCCATCCAAGGACTCAAGGGAGGGGAGGACAAACAGGAAGGTGCTAGAATCTAGCTTAAGCCCAGGAGTTCCCTGGAGCAGGGGCCTCTGAGGAAACGTAGACTTTCTAGACCTGCTGAAGCAATCCCAATTGCTGTGCAGGCCCCAGCGTGAGCCCGGAGACCCCAGACCCACTGCTGGGCAGAACACTGAGAAGAGGGTGGCAAAATCTGTAGTTGGTGCAGCTGTCGCAGTGGAAGGACTGGTGTCCCCTGACGAGTGTGGAAGACAGGTGGATGCATGGATGTGCGTTCAGCCTGGTTACGCTCTCTGAGCCTCATGTTCCTAATCTGCAAAATGGGAGTGATAACACCCATCGTGTAGGATTCTTTTTGAGCAATACATGATATAATAAATGTAAAACTTCCTAGCCCTCTGCTGGCTCTTAAATAAGTGCTCGCTAAAGGTTAGTTCTGTGTGCTCTGGGAGGAAAAATTGTGAGGGAGGGAAGGTCTGGAGTTTGCATCTGTCGGTTTATCTGATTCTGACACCCTGGCACAGTCTACCGCCTCCCCTGCACCATCTTTTCCCATTGTCTGAACTATTTTTTTAATATTTACTCATTGAGTGGACTTATAAAATCTTCCCAAAGTACAGAACCAAAAGGATTCATCCCCAGAGGTGGGGTTCTCGCCATCAAGACGGGCTGTGAGGAAGATGGCTTTGAGCAGGTCTCTCGGGCCCCCTGGAAGGGCGGCGTCATCTCTACCCGGCCCTGCTCCTGAGGCCCTGGCCGCTGAGCCCACCTCCTGCTCAAAAGACTGAAGCCTTGGCCTTAGCCTTAGCAATTTGCTCCCAAATGCCAGAGCCAGCAGCAAGAGGGGAGGACCATGGCCCCTGCCTTTCACCCCCCCAACCCCAAGGGGCAAGTTAGTCGAACAGTACGGTCCTTTTGTCACCATCCTCCCCCTTCCATATAGACAACCATTCTAATGTATGTGGTGGACTATATACAGTTTTGTTTCTGTGTGTACTTGGTAAAACCTTTGTGTGCTTCTATTTTTAAATTATGTGACTAGTCCTGTTGCTTAGCCCATTCTGTTTCTTACTTTTGCCCTAAGAATGTTGTTTTTGTGATTGGTCCATGTTGCTCTAGAACTGCTTCTACCCACACGTCAGGGTGCATCATGCTTTCTGGCATTCTCCACTTATTTTACCTATCTGCTCCCTGGCTGATGAGTTTGGAGATGGCATCCAGCTCCCTGTTTCCACGAATTGTGCTGCTCCAGTAGCCTCCTGCAGGTCCCACCGTGAGGGTTTCTGTGGGATCCATACCCAAGATCAGAACACGTGTCACAGGACACGTGTATACTTACTCTGATCAAGGACAGCCAGACTGCTTTCCTGAATGACTAGCACCCTCTACTCTCCCCCACTCACTCCCAACCCCAAACAGGACACGGAAATCCCTATATCTTTACCCATATGTGGTAGCATTATCCAGCTGTCCAGTAGTTGTAAAGTGACATCACATTGTTGCTTCATCTGGTATTTTTCTAATAACTAGTGAGTTTGGGCATTTATTGATATGTTTGTTAACTTTTTGGATTTCCTCTTCCCTGATTGGATGGTCAAATCCTTCGCTCTATTTTTAAATTGAATTTGCTCTCTATTTCTTAACTTTCAGGAGGTCTAGGTATTGATCTGTGATCAATTTCAAACATTATAAATATCTTCTGATGATGTTACATCTATTAACTTTGTCAGTGGTGTCTTCCATTGAACAGAAATCCTTCATTCATTTGGAGTATTTTTTTTTTGCCTTGTGGTTTGTGCTTTTGAAAGTTTACTTAAGAGTTTGCTCATTTGAAGCTTACCATCTTCAGCACTCCTCACCAGAAATTCAGAGATCACTACTGTTCTCGCTTTCTTTTAAGAGATAAATCTACAATCTGTGGCTATACCATTCACTTCTCAATGTCACCGGCTCCTCGTGGATAAAATAAGAGAGTCAAACCAGCTCATCTCTGAGGTTCCATATGTCTCCAAGCAACTGGAGCCCTGAGAAGTGTTTTGATTCAGTGTAGGGGCTGAGGGTAGGGCCAAGGAGTAGAGGCAGGAGTCTATGGCTGGAGCTGCCTGGACAGCAGTGAGAGGCAGAAATCAGCAGTGAGGGGCAGAAATCG